CCGAGACGTCCAATTCTGCCCTTTTACGGGTCTGCAGTTTTGCGGTTCTGACTTTTTACGGTTCTGCAATTTGGACGGTCTGGTGTTTTACGAGTCTGTCGATGTACGGGTCTTGCGTTCTACGGATCTAGAGTTTTGATAGTCTTCGCTTTTACCAGTCTGTCATTGTATGGGTCTCAAATGTCGACAGTCTGTCGTTTCACGGGTATCACAATTCTGCCAGTTTGATGATTGAGACTGATCATTTAAATGAAATGGTGGTCTACAGAGTACGGGCTGCTGGATTACAGTCTGTGCTTTCACGGTTCTATGACATACGGTCATATATTTACATGATTCTGACAACATGAAGAGTAATTTATGTATTGGTTTCGCAAGGTACACAGTAGTAGCAGTCTTTCAAAGTACGGTTCGAAACATTACGGGTTGTACATATTGCAGTCGCTGAAATATGATTCTGGGTTGTACAATGATTCTAGTGATTTGCTGTTCTGATTTTTTACTATTCTGACCGGATAAATTCCTATTGATCGACGGTCTATGTCGATACGTTCTGATGATGTATATGGACCCGTCCAAGTGACTATTCAATACTCCTTCTCAGGCAATAATGCCATAGTTAACTAAATATAAATTGACCCTTGTATAGAGATTTCAAATACCTCCCTCTCTAACGATCTAACAAGGCGTAACAATTTGAACTTGACTTCTCATACAATTTGAGAATTTTTAGAAGAATCGATTGTTGAAGAATGTTTGACTATGACACCTCTATATAGCATGACTTCGACAACTGATTTTACAGAAGGTTACAATCGTTCAAACTCGTGTGTATACAAGAAAAATACTATCATTGCAATCATCCAATTAAATTAGGGTTTCTCGCTCTCCATACCTAGTATCTTGAAAGTATATGTCCTCTCTGCTTCATTTGTATTTCAGAGTAACATGTGGATTCCATATTTTATTCAGTACTCAGGAGAGAGAGAACTATCTAAACAAATATACGACATGCCAGAATGCATTCTGTGGCACGAAAGGAATGTTCGCAAAACTCCTTGATATTTGGGATATGTCCAGGAACAGAATAGATGGAACGGTTTATTTATGAGATCAGATTTTAATGGAATTCAGCTGAAATTCACCAGAAAGAAACCCTGAGATGGATTTTGATGAAGAAAATACAATGAGATGAAAATATTATTCCATCATCAATGATCCGAACGCTGGATAGTGAATGGAGGCATACTGAGTATCCATGCAGCGTGTGTTATTCCAGTTGATATTTCGAAAGATTATCTTGACCTAGTTTTGAGAAATATGGGAAGTTCCAGAAAATTTGATCCCATATGTGTATTTCTCTCCATAGGGTGTTCCTCCGAAATGTGCGATACATTTCAAGGCATCCAGCTCATCAATTCCAGTTTTGATTAAAAATTGAATGTTTCCTGATTTTGATTCGTGACTCTGATTTCCCAGTCCCAAAGAATGCAATTGGGTGAATTTGAATAGTTTCCCCAAGCTGGAATAGAAGAATCGATGTATAGCTTCGAACATAAATTAGTTTGATTCGTGCAGGGTGTATTTTATCAGGAATACACATAAACAACACTTATTTCAACTGAACAAAGCAAGCAAACAGTATCCCAAGTGGAGTCGAGTATTTGTAATTGAAACCTATATATTATCTTGGCCTTTGCAGACTTTAGTCCAAGCTGATCGATAACATTGACCCCTGATGCTGATGTAGGCCTCTTTTCACCACCCTTTTATTAGCTTGGTATGTATGTCTGTAGGTTTGTATATGTTTGTATGTAACGGAATCTTCGAATGTGATTTTGACCCACTAAAAAACGTCGAATTGAATTGAAACTTCACACACTTTATCAGGGACCGATAACAATAGCATAGCACATAATTTAATGATCTTGTTCCATTGTCCTCATCAGGATCTTCATAATGAGCGATGGACGGGTGGATTAATGATGAATTATTGGCATTCATTTACTCCACTGTATCGACAGGGACCTAAATTAATTTTTGCAACATTCCTCACGCTTTTTTAATGTAAATAATGAGTTCATGCGTTGTTCGAACTTCTTGGATTTCAGAGCTCATTTCAAACTTATTGTCATGGCCGCCATTTGGCGATACGTCGAATAAATGGTTACGTCAGTTTTTGTGCTGTTTCCTCATTGGTCAGATAATCTTTCATTCCCACTCATGAAGCAATTTAGCCAAGTCACCAATTATAATCAAGTTATCGAAAAGATGTTATTGAATAAAACATAATAGGAGGAACCCGTGTTATTATAGTTGATTCTTGAGTTTTTCGAGCATTCAGCTTGCCAAAATATTTCTTATACTCCACAACAAAATATCATGTAAATGTTGGAGACTTGGCAACATTGTGCTGAATGCTGAAAACTGACAAGACCACACCCGCAATTCGTGCGCTGTTGTTGTCACGTTTACCCGAGCGTTTACCGTTTCAAATGTCCTCTAGTGTGAATGAATATGATTATTATTTACACAAAATAATGTATTATAACCAATAAGCTGCAACACATCAGGAAACATTTTGAGACAATTGATTTTTTAATCCTAATTAGGAATATCACCGAGAATTTATGGATTGTTGGAAAACTGATATTAAGTTCCCAATCGTATTTCAACATATGGCGACTGTGCTATGAATTTCTAGCCGTTTGAAAATTACCGTGGCATTATTGATCATTTTGACACCTTAGAATCGACCGAAAAATCTGTAAAAATAATGAAATTGAAAGGTATTTGTGTGATGATTCTATTTAAGAAATAAAAAGAATGAAATGGTGAATTATGTTCCTCCACCAGAATTTGAAATTTACGTCTTTATTCCTACCAATAACTTTTTACAATGCTTTTTATATCCGGAGATACAGCAATATCTTGCATCAAGTACTGAAACTTCGCACATTTATCAAGGACCGACGACAATAGCATAATTCAATAGTTTTGTTCTATTATCCTGATAAGGATCTTCAGGATGAGCCGTTTTCACATCCAGAGACACAGCAGTGTCTCAGAACAAGTATACTCGTAGGGTATTGAAATAGTTACACTCAGAGATACGGTAGTGTCTTGCATCAAGTACTTGTATGAAATATAAAGTTTCCAGAAACAGAAAGGGAGAAAGGCAACAGGCACGCAATTTACCCCCTCTCACTGCGGGGCGATAGTAACAGAAAAATTAAAATCAATAGCTTTTGAGCAGAATTGAAAAAAACTGAAAAACACGCTTCTTTAGATAGTCTAACTGAAAAAAAATTGCACATAATATAATAAAAGTGTGTTGATGAATACACAACTTTTAGAAAATACTGATTGTTGGAGTTTCGTTATTTTGAAATAACTTTTTTTAGTATAAATAAATACATTATTATCTTTTGTTTCTTATGGGTACAGCAATAACTCATCAATAATTGTGATGAAAATTCATTATGTTCAATTTCAATTAGTTTCACACATACCTGATGAGCAGAATTGTATTGGTGGTTGCATATCCTCTACCGCTGCTACCAGTACAGATACGGACGTGGTAGGAATAGTTTTCGAAAAAGAGTGATCGCGAATGGACGTGTCTGCTTTTCGCAAAATTGGACAATTTTGAAAATTTGGTTGAGATGTGAAGTTCGTGATTCACCTTGTATATAGTTTGGTGCAACAATAACCTATCAGCAGTTACACGCTGCAAAATTCAATCGATATCCAGATATCTCATTCTGGAACTTTGATAGCCGGCGCCGGCAAAGAAGAATACAGCTCCTTCACGAGCTAAACAACTTTTATTTTCTGCTGTCAGCTGGTAATCACCTTTGCATACAGTCCATCATAATCAACAAATAAACACTGATAGCAGAGGCGCTATTATTTTATAAACTGATTACAGAGGTGTTAGAATTTTCTACACAACTACAAAAAATATTGATAATAGAGGCGCTAACATTTCATATACCTACTGATTACTGAGGTATACATGCTGGAAACCTTTGAATCCACGAGTTTCTTGGACAGAAGAAAGAAACAGGCAGTGCTATTCATATACTATCTATTAAATTATATAAAGTACAAAGACTGTGATTTAATTAAGTATATTGACATGAACGTTCCCAAAATCAATTTGAGAATCAGAAATTATGATATTTTCAGGGTAGATCTAGTCAGCACATCACCAATAAATAAAATGCTATCAATATGCAATCAAGAGCTCGAGCAAACACACATAGATATATTTAACACAAACGTGAAAGAGCTAAAAAAATATGACGTGTGAAACTATCACATACACTTCCTGTCTGTGACTGCTTACTGCTTGTGCCTTACCTAGTTATAAATTTAGTTGTATAGTTGTGATGTTGTCAATATCTTCTGTATACTACCATTACCTGTAATTACCTATGGGAGTTTGTAATGAGGTCAATAAATAAATAAAATGAATGAAATTCTTTATGTTGTGTATTTGTCACCACCGTTTCATTATCTTATCCTCAACTTTTTTTTTAGTTTGCCTATCTATTTTATGGTGTTCATTCAGTTTTTCAAACTACTATTAATTTTCTACAGTGTTTTTCTTCAACGCCACCCCTCCCCCCAGCCTCCGTTTATTTTTTGCCACATCATAAAGAAAGCAGGCGACCGAGAATATGCTATGATAATCCAAAAAATAAGTGTTAAAAATTGTTTCGGATCATTCATCCTTTTCCTCCTGGATCATCATGAAGATTCCCACTCACTACGCCACGCTGGCAATTGAGCTCATTTTTTTGGAGATCTCTTGGGAAATAACGGTTTTGGCAGTAATCTTGTAAGATTGGATTAGTACTCTCAAACGATGAAAAGGAATATGCTCATTTTTCACTCCTACTGAAGAGTCGTTCACGTGTATATTGGGAGCACAGGCAGTGAATTTCTAACCTCAAACATGATTTGAATTGATTGTATTATGTGAGCTTTCTTACCATAATACCGGTGCTGACTGCGATGCCTCTGCCACAGTACGTGTTAGGAACGATATCTCCAAAACCGACACTCAGAAACGTGATTGCTATCAACCACATCGCATTGAGAAGGTTCGCATGCTCTTCATCGTGAAACCTGAAACATAATTTCATCTGAAACTCAATACGGAATCTGTTCAACAAGACACTGAACTAATTTTTTGTAGCCCCTACATAAATATCCATTATAGAGTCACACAGATGGTCGTGGAATTCTTTTATCGCTCATCAAAAACCGCTGAAAACTCATTTCAAAATTGAATAGCTAACTTCAAAATGGATCGACAAGATTTCGCTCAACACATGAACACGCAATTTTTGCTGAAAGCTTGATCAAAATGGATATCAAGAGAAATCAGTACCATTGAAGTTGTCGAAGTAGAGGCATAGTCTGTTTATCCTACGCGCGGAACCCATTGTAGACAACCTGTACAGTCAGCGAATGTTGCATTGCGTACTACTGTATTATTTATAACAAACAACGTCACCAGCAATGCTCATTTTATACTGATATACCAAAGTGTTGTTCTGAAAAAAACTGAAATTCATGATTATCAATTCATGACATCTATCTATACGAATATGTGTATACAAAAAACTTCCAGTTGAAAAATTCATGTTTTCCTTAAGACTTCGGGACCCCAAAACTAATATGGATACACAAAGCGACAGACATAGCACTTTTTATTTCATGAAAGAACGGCGAAGTTTTTATCTACACCGACCTCAGATGTCTTTGAAGTTGCAGCGATAGCTTTCAGAGTTACTCCAGAAGGCAAATGGATGAGTGAATATTAAAAATTTCGCTGAACACCCGTGATCAATTGAAACCATTTACTTGAATTCACCAGAAGAACGCTATTATGTTGAAACACACATTATAGTATCTTCATAATCATGTATTTATTGATGACACTATCAGATATCCAATTTTTGAAAATAAAAGCATATCCTCATCTGTATCTCTTATTCCATCTAAATATCGCGAGCATTTATGTAGCTGGATACATAAAGACATTAAACTGTTTGTATTTTTGTTGTGCAATTCCCTATTTAACACGTTATCATGGATATGTCCCGATAAACCTTACTGCGGTAATGATCCAAGGAATACTGTTGATATAATATTATATACAAGGTGTCCCAGAAATACGTACCATGAATTCTACAGGGTGAACTAGACACCAAACTTTCCTCTATATGAAAATGCACTATTGAGCCGGGAGAGGACGATGGAGAATAACTTTATTTACAGATTTTCCTGAATAATTCAAAATCCTCTCTAAAATTCATAGGGCAATTCACTATCATGAATGTGCATGAAAACCATGTCATACCAATTCAATCAATATACGGAGAGATGAATATTTCACATTCTCTTTGATGAAAATTGATTCAATGAGAGACAAAATCAATTCTAAAATGAATTTTGTTAGATATCTCGGAATCTAAGAAGAATCATGAGAAAACTGCAGTTAAAAAAGAGTTAGATAATTGATTTTGTCTTCGCAAAATTTGCGTGCTCGGCTGTTTCGCGGTCGCTCCGCCTTGCAAACGTAAATATCACTCGTCAAACAAAGTGTCATGTTTGATCCTAATAAAACAAATTACTATTGTCTTCCATTGAAATATCGAATTATGGTCAGTGGCGTACTCAAAATAAGTTACATCAATTTCCATCAAGGAGAATGTGAAATTTCTATCTCTCTGTAAATTGATTAAATTGGTATGACATGTCATGCACATTCATGATAGTGAATTGCCCTATGGATTTCAAAGCAAAACCTTTCCGGCTCAACAGTGATTATTGTATAGAGGTAAGTTGATTTCAATCAGTCTATTTCGGTGTCTAGTCTACCCTGTAGAATTTCTGGTACATTGCTCTGGGACATCTTGTATATTTACCCCTTGATTCTGGTTCGATATAAACCAGTTTATTTATAGTTTTAGAGGAATCAGTGTTAGAGCTTGAAGAGCAATTCAAAATTCCAAATGGGGATTTGAATAATTCAAGTAGGAGAGATTCTCATGCAATTCCATTTGTTGAAAAAAACTCCATTCATCATTTTGTACCCGTCAAACTATAACAGGTCTATATCACGGATATTCGAATGATGGTTATGCAAATTTTGATGTTACATCGAATCGGGCTACAAATGTAAATGACATGTCTGCGCATTTGATAAACGATCTGGTCCGACTATTCTTCCCAATTCATAATGATTGTGAGTAGTGGATGAGCAAACAATGATATTTGAGTATTTCCGTAGATTTTTTGGTGCAGTGAAGTAGTGGAGACATCCTACATCAAGACTTCTGAAGCCAAAAACTGTATAACCTGTATTTACGAAGTTGTTGTTCTTGTTCTGCTTCAATGGACTGCGCTCGGACGTCATTCTGAAAGATTGTTTTGAATAGAATGGGATATCGAGTGATATATCTGATTCGAAAAGTTTTCCAATTCTTGAACATCACCAGAATTTCAGGCAAAAATATCAATCCTAAACAAAATGGCGTAGGATAGTGTTTGGAATCTCAATGCCAGAAAATTTATTGTGGAAGTACCAGGGTTCAAAGCCCCTCCAGGTTTTGCATTCCATATCATCCATAATCATAGTGATTGTGAGTACTGGATGAACAAACAATGATATTTGAGTATTTCCATTGATTTTCTTGGTGCAGTGAAGTAGTGAAGACAACTACTACTGCTTCAATGTACTGCCCTTAGACGTCCTTCTGAAAGATTTTTTTGAATAGAATGGGAGATCGAGTGATATGTCTCATTCGAGAAGGTTTCCAATTTTCAAACAACACCAAAATTTCAGACGAAAATATTGATCCAAAACAAAATGGCGAAGGATAGTGTTTGAAATCTCAAGCCAGAAAATTTATAGTGAAACCACCAGAGTTCAAAGCTCCTCCAGGTTTTGCATTCCATACCATCCATAATCATAATGATTGTGAGTAGTGGATGAACAAACAATGATATTTGAGTATTTCCATAGATTTTTTTGGTGCAGTGAACTAGTGAATACATCCTACATTAAGACTTCTGAAGCCAAAAACTGTATACACCGTGTTTACGAAGTTTTTGTTCTGCTTCAATGTACTGCGCTTGGACGTCATTCTGGAAGATTTTTTTGAATATAATGGGAGATCGAGTGATATATCTTATTCGAAAAGTTTGCCTATTTTCAACCAACACCAGAATTTCAGGCAAAAATATCCATCCTAAACAAAATGCCATAGGATAGTGTTTGAAATTTATTGTGGAAGCACCAGAGTTCAAAGCCCCTTCAGGTTGTGCATTCCCTATCATCCATAATCATAATGATTGTGAGTACTGGATGAACAAACAATGATATTTGAGTATTTCCATTGATTTTCTTGGTGCAGTGAAGTAGTGAAGACAACTACTACTGCTTCAATGTACTGCCTTTAGACGTCCTTCTGAAAGATTTTTTTGAATAGAATGGGAGATCGAGTGATATGTCTCATTCGAAATGGTTTCCAATTTTCAAACAACACCCAAATTTCAGACGAAAATATTCATCCTAAACAAAATGGCGAAGGATAGTGTTCGAAATCGCAAGCCAGAAAATTTATAGTGAAACCACCAGAGTTCAAAGCTCCTCCAGGTTTTGCATTCCATGCCATCCATAATCATAATGATTGTGAGTAGTGGATGAACAAACAATGATATTTGAGTATTTCCATAGATTTTTTTGGTGCAGTGAACTAGTGAATACATCCTGCATTAAGACTCCTGAAGCCAAAAACTGTATACACCGTGTTTACGAAGTTTTTGTTCTGCTTCAATGTACTGCGCTTGGACGTCATTCTGGAAGATTTTTTTGAATAGAATGGGAGATCGAGTGATATATCTTATTCATTAAGTTTGCCTATTTTTAACCAACACCGGAATTTCAGGCAAAAATTTCCATCCTAAACAAAATGCCATAGGATAGTGTTTGAAATCTCAATGCCAGAAAATTTATTGTGGAAGCACCAGAGTTCAAAGCCCCTTCAGGTTGTGCATTCCCTATCATCCATAATCATAATGATTGTGAATAGTGGATGAACAAACAAAATTATTTGAATGTTTCCATTGATTTTTTTGGTGCAGTGAAGTAGTGAAGACTACCTACATTCTTCGGAAGCCAAAAACTGTATACAATGTGTTCACGAAGTTTCTGTTCTGCTTCAATGTACTGCGCTTGGACGTCATTCTGAAATATTTTTTTGAATAGAATGGGAGATCGAGTGATATATTTCATTCGAGAAGTTTTTAAATTTTTTAACAACACCAGAATTTCAGGCAAAAATATGTATCCTTATCTCGCACCAAAATGTATTCACTGACAATAAATGTCATTCACCAGCAACAATCCTCTGACCGTCCAGAGGACAGCACTATTCAGAAATGAAATAATATTTGAAATCCCCTTCCGAGACGAGGAAGCGAATGAAACTATCGTGTTTAAACAGGAGTACTAATAGTAAAAATTATGTTTTTGTCATATTTTTCAATCAAAATTACTAAAAAGTTTTGTCGAAAAAAAGTTACTCAACCTATACACCAAAATAGTTCGACTGTTGATTGAGCACAGTAACTCATACCGCAATTATTTAATTGTTCAACTGTAGTCTCATAATTATATTCAGTTCTTGGTGAATTGGTTGATTTTGATGAGTTCTATGTCTATGTTCTTGAAATTCCAGTTTGCAGACATACCATTCATATTGTTTTTCCTTCCTGAACAAACTGATTCCGCATTGGAAACTATAACCGTAACTTCGATCGAGGTTCAATTTGATAATTTGATATTTGACATGATTCATCAGTCAGTAGTGGCAGAGTGGTATAATCAGAGAAGCTAAGCATTATGCTTTTCAGTCACCAGCAATTATAGAATAAGTACACCAAACATAAAAGAATTATTATTCCATGGAATAATTGAACATCATCTCGACTTGAAATGGTTTTTTGTTTCCGATGTACATGAATTTATAACTCATACCTATCCTGCGGCGAATAAGTGAAAATTGAAACAGTACACCATGGAGTGAAATGTAGATTTCCCAGTAGGAACGCCT